TTTACGAGGCCATAACTTTCGATGTAAGATGACCTGAGCCTTGTAACTACCATCATTGTTCTCGCAATGCTCCCAGGTAAGTGCACGCCAAATTTCGGCTTAATCTGTAAAAACGTTTTTTATACTGATTTCAGTACCGGAAGCATCCCCACTACACCGCCAATTGAGCATTTAATACCCAAATCAACTCAGATTCGAAAAATTCTGGCACCGGCGCATCCTCTATTGTCTTCTAAGAGTAGGCACACAAAACTCAAGCCAAAACTCGTGGAATTGGCAGCGTGAGACGCGAAACAACGAAAGTGAGCTTCTTGGCTGGCCCAGCTTGTATATATATATATATATATATGTTGTCAAGTAAATAAAGCAAAGTTTTTCGCTTCGAGCAATGGGCCTCCATTTTAACAAATAGTCCTCCATTATTGGTTGCTATGCCGACTGCACCAACGCGACCGCCACGTGTAAAAAGAAAACATCGACTAAAAAAAGCACTGAATGAAATAACACATAATAACCTAAAATAAGCTCCCTTTTGTTTTGGTTGTGCCGACTGCACGCGCCCTTACCCAAAATATCGCTTCGTTCGACATCAAAATCAATCATTGAACGAAAAAATGGTCTTCCTTCCAGATCTGGTGTCCATATACCTCGCTTTGGGAACTTGATTATTAATATACCAACGGAAAAATCCGACATTTATTTACTAGCAATTCCAACAGCTGTCTGTCCAAATCCGTTTATTATATGTATGTATGTTCGGATACGGCTCTACGCCGCCGACACAAACGGATGAAAGGATTCCGGGCAATCGTAGATCATTAAAAACATCGCCTTCTTTGGGAGATAGATTGATAGATAGATCCGCCCGCCCGCGGGGACAGGGTGTTGAACGGTGCTCACTCCTTACTTTCGATATATTTCTCATTCGTTCCCTACAAAAGGAGGTGTGTGTACCTTTGTGCAGGATTACTAGACAATTTGTTGTTATGCATGGACCATACTACTACTACTACTACTACTACTACTACAAATACCATCCTCACTGCGAGAGGCCTTTCCTATACTACTGCAAAGTATACGGCTTCGCCGCGCGTTTTGGACAACAAAGTTGACAAAGAGAACAGGGTTGATGAAGCAGAAACAAGAACAACATGCACAAATTCACCCGCACTGAGACTGACGTCTTTTCATTGGTCGGCCGGTAAGCGCGGCGATGTAAATAATCAAAACACACAAACACACTAGCTTGTTTTCTGTCGATGCGAACTCGCGATGTGTGCAAACGTCATAGGCTACTGATCGACCAACTTCCACCAGGGCCAATCGTTGGGATCTCTGCGACAACGATAGTAATGAGGGTAATTCTTTTGGGAGTGACGGAGACGAAGGAAAGGGAAAGGGAAGAAAGGAGGATGAAGACGACGATGGAGGAGGAAAACATGGAGGGGTGGAAGAGAGCAAAGTGTTTGAGCCAGATTACCTTCCCCAAAACAAAAGACGCAGGGCTAGGGAAGAACTGCCAAGAGATTGTTGTCAAAATGAGGATCAGATTGATTGATGGTACAAGCAAGCTGGTCTGACCAAGACGCAAATTTGAAGGTTGGAGCGGATTTCCCACGCGGTTTTTTCGAGTTAGAACCTGAAGTTTTGACACGGCATCTGCATGAGTACTATAAACACAAAGGCCACTGCGCTGTTTGGATTTTTTTTTATTTCGTAAGTTAGGCTGATATAAGTATTCATGGGAATATTTGCTATGCCAAAAAGTCGCAGAATAAAAGAAAAAAGTCCAATGGCGCAGTGGCTTATTTGTTTTTTGTACTCATGGGGATGCCGTGTCGAAATTTCAGCTTCTAATTCGAAAAAACAGCGTGGGAATCGCGAGATCCTTACGTTGCCTCAGGTATCTTGTGTGTTGTATCGGATTCTTTAATAGGCCATAACTTCTGATGGAAGGTGCTGTGAGCCTTGAAACTACCATCTTTGCTCTCGCCATGTTCCCAGGTACATGCACAGCAATTTTCAGCTTGATGTAAGAAACTTTTTTTTGTGCTGATTTCAGTACAGGAAGTATCCCAACTATGCCGCCAATTGATAGTTATATACCTAAAATCAACTCAGATCCGAAAAATTCCGGCACCTGCCCATCCCCTATGGTCTTATACGAGCACCCGCCAAATTTGAAGTCTAAATTCGTTGAAACAGCAGAGTGGGACATGAAAGAACGAAAGTTAGCTTCTTGGTCAGACCAGCTTGTAGCGACAACAAGGAGGATAATGAATGGTGAAAGTATTCCTAAACGAACTCGAGTACAAGGCAATAGCCTTGGTAGACGCGTGCAGTTTTCTTCAGTTGCCACCGTTTTCGTCTTTGATCCGAAGGATAGTTTAGCCTCCCCTCCCTATGCTGCCCCCTCATGGGGTCCCAGTTCATGGCTGATAGAAGTGTTTCGTGTTTTAACCGCACTAAGACTGACGTCCTTTCAATGGTCGGCCTGTTAGCGCGGTCGATGCTAATAATAAAAACACACACACGTGCGTAAACGGCAATATATCTTTCAGTCTTTTTGGAATGTTTGGGCGCTGCCGAAAGAGATCACTCAGTGAGGGTGGTAAGTAAGTGAAGACTGAGGGTCCTTCACTTGGCGAGCAAGACTTTGGTCGGATGTATGGCCTGATACTACTTACTAGTGCTTGTGCGCACTAAAATACTGGGCAGTTCATGACTCCGGGAAGAAAAGAAAAAAACAATGAAGTACTCTCCTGGACAGAAATGAACAGGCGTTCTTTGAGTTCGTAACGTCCGGTCTATCCCATATGGGCGAGACAGTTCCGTAGTAACTACGGGTGCAGTAGAGGCAATATTTTGTTGCCTAATAACATAAAAAGGTTTGAGTTTGCGGCAACACATGTGTGTGTGTGCGTGCAACCGAAAAGATGAGTCGTCTCCACCTAGTGGTGGTGGTGTGCTTGGTTGTGAAAGCTGGATGGTCGTCGGGTTGGACTAAATTTTGTACGAAGCACCGATTGATGGCGTTTGTATTCCATAGACTACAGTAGGTATATATGCGAATCTTTTTCGTAGCCACGGGTCTACGCGAAAAAGATTCACGACACATAGGCCTACGCTGTACTTATATTCGAAATCGGGGTCCGTGGGGGCGGGGGGGGTCATTTTGGGGGGAGGGGGGGGGTGTACTCATAGTCGTGCATGCCGTAGTCGTTTGACCATTGACCTCGCATCCCTACAAAGCCGGGACGGAGCACGCCGGGTTCTCACCGGACCAGGCTCTCACATCACCAAGCGCGAAGCGCCGTGAGGTGTTTGGCGAGTCGCATGAAGGGTGAACTGCATCCTGCTAAGGGTGTTCGGCATCTTGTGCTTACTTCCTTGCGTACGGATGACAGCTACGTATGACTTAATTTATTTTCTGGTGCTTTCACTTCCAGAGACAGTTGTAAGCACTGTGTAACTGCCTCGACGAAGCTTGACCATTTTAACACAACGTGGTGCGATCATCCCCCGTTGCGCGGAGTGAGGGTTCTCGACCCCGCACAACATGATCTACTCGACCACCATTATGGTTACCGCCAAAAAAAAACCGAGGTAAAAAAAAAAACGGTAACCTGGTTGCCGAGTTCACGAAGTGAATTGGCTTGTTTTACAACGTCGTTGCCAAGCGACGAAAACCCAATCCCGATGGCAAACACCGAGTGGGGGCTTATTTTACAACGTCGTTGCCAAGCGACGAAAACCCAAACCCCGATGGCAAACACCGGGGGGGGCGGCTTGTTTTACAACGTCGTTGCCAAGCGACGAAAACCCAAACCCCGATGGCAAACAAGGCCGAGTGGGGGAGGAGGGGGGGATATTTACCCATGTACCTCTGGGTTTTACGCTAAGGCGTCGGCGCTTTGTCGTCCGGCTCAAGGTGCGTGCATCGCCGTTGGCGCTGTGGGGCTGTGGAGACCGCCGAGAGATGGCAGACACCCCGTACACCACAGGGTCGTCGTTGCAATCTTCTCACGCATGCGCCCATGAGCATCTAGCTAGGAGCTGCCGCTGGCCTGTCAGTCGCCCGTGTGGCCGATTGGTCAGAACACAATGGATGGCGATGTCGCACGTTCAAGCACATATTCGGCTACTGGCTCGCAGAAAACAATCGTAGCGAGACACCGCGCGATACCTCGGAAGCAGGGGTGGGTCCGCATGATGAGTAAGCATGGTAGATTGATCAAGTCAAACGTATCCCTACAAGACCAAGCCTATATATGCAGTAGTAGATTTGCGAGACTACTGTATGTTGCCTGTTGCGCAGTGGTAGAAGCGGCAAGGGCAAGTTTGCCAAGGCAGGTGGTTGTTTAACTGAATGGATGGTTGTCAACACGTGTGAAACCTCGTCAATGACCTGTTCCAAAAGAATTGGGTTTTGTTTGCTCGGTTGTTTCGCTCATCATTTTGAGCTAGCTTTGGTCGAGAATGTACAATCATCTTAGGAATGAGGAGTGAGGCGCTACACGCAAGGTAATGTAGGCTGCTTGTTTCCGTGTGTCCCTGTAGCACAGCTGGTCAGCGTGGGCCGGCATAGGTGACGAGCAGATGCAGGGGTAATGAGAGCGAGGCATGTTTGTTTGCCATCCATCTAACCTCATGGTAACTTTTCGACGATCCATGGTAACCTTTCGAGTTTCTCCCCACTCTGGGGGGGGGGGGGGGGGCCTAGTCTAGTTGTCCGGAACATTTTTTCGTGTACACCCTTAGTTTGATGTCTAAACAAAATGGCCTTGTAGTAGCGGTGGCCTCCTCGTTCTGCTCTTCCTGATGGGGCGGAGGCACATACATACGATACCGACCGGCCATCATACGAAAAGTTAAGTGTTCATCATTCTCTCCTCGCCAAACATGTTGAGACTGTGCACGCTCACTCGACGAAAAGCATCAACCGTGATGCGATGAGAAATTTAAGTATCTACCAACAACACGCAACGGGATACACGCGCGTAGTTGTTCAAGGCAGGCATTCAGATTGACTTCTCGATACCAGGCACCAGACGTTCACACCGTGAGTAGCAATTTGGCGGGGGGGCGAAGAGACAAACGTAACGTATTGCACGGCGGGTGCTAACTCGGCTCTTCGCCCGAGAGGCTGTTTTCTTCCATCGCAAGACCTGCACGAAGACCGGCAACATCTTGAGGGGTCTTGCCGTCTCGGTTGCAGGCGTCTTGGTCTCCCCCTTCCTTTGATAGTGCGGCCGCGACCGCTACGTTTGCATACGAAAACGCAAAGTGCAACGGGGTGTTCCCGTCCGCGTCACGCGCTCGCGGGTCAGCTCCTGCTCGCAGCAATATTTCCACGATCTCCACGTTTCCGCTCGCGGCAGCTAGAGCCAAAGGCGTTCGACATCGGTTGTCGAGAGCGTGGACGTCTGCCGCTGCAGACAGGAGGGCTCGGCACGCCCCGGCATAGTCGCGTCGATCGAAAGCGCCCGGAGGTTTTCCTCTCAACTCGGGCGTTCCCGAATCGTTTCTTTCGCGCGTGCTTGCAACCCTGCCTCGGTGGCGGCGCGCTGGTTTGCAGCATCGACGCGCAAGGTGGGTGTACAAGGAAGGCCGTTGAGCTACTTTATCGCTCTTGTGAAGCAGTCGAGGGGGAGCGCACGGGAGGCTCACGTCATCACCCCTCGTCACTGCCGCTAGTCCTGCCATGCAAGCGTGGAGGGGTGTAAACCCAAGCCCCGGGGTCTTGCTGTTAACCCCCGGGCACGTCCAAGGCTTGCCGATCGCGTCTTTCGGAGAGCGCGAGCCCTCTTGGCATGAGCGGGACACCCGTTCGGTCTCTCCTAGCGCTGCGGCTTCCCAGATGCTCGACATGGCCAAGCGGATGTCATCCGTCCTGTCATGTCAAGCAAGAAAAATATGCGAGAATGCAGGAGACTCAACGGATTAACACCCACTCTAAATTTTACGACCATGACGGTTGGTTCCAGGGACTGTGAATTTGATGGTTTAAGCATTCAAGACCAGGGGCACACTACTAGGTCCGCTGCGGGGAGCTCATGGTCAGCGATAGACGCGGAAAGTGTTCCTACGTCGGAGACAACGAAAGGACGGCGTCTGCCCCCGACAGCAATCCCTAGGCGTTCACGCACCTGCCCAAGTCCATGGCCGTCGTGCCAGCGCTGTTTTCTTGTCTGGCGAGAACGCCAGAATCGGAATCCCAATATACCAGCAATCGGGTACACCATAATGACCCGCTGGCCGCTGAGTAGTGCAGGGCATTCCACCTCCTTGACGTGACGGACCAAGGGTTTGCTCCCGCAGTAAGGAGAGCCAGGAGAGCGATGTGCCGGCCCTTCCTCGCGGCAAAATGGATTGGTCGGAGTCCGTCAGCGTCTTGGGCTTCAAGACTTGTCCCGTGGCTTACGAGCATGGGAATTACATCACTCTGGGGCATGAACAAGACCGCACGAGGAGGGAGGGGGGTATGTGGCGACGCCGAATAATTCAAACGATGCTTTCCTTTGTCGAAAGATGGGTTCTCCAGACAAGATCGACCGGGCCGACGAGTTGTACGATGAAAAAACGTCAACCTTGTAGTGCCAATAAAGTTGTCAACTCCGTACGGTGCATGCAATAATGTGAGCGTGCCGCAACGAAGGTGTTTCCACCCATCTACGTGTTGACGAAATACGAACCTTTGCCGGTCCGCTCGCACTTGCGGCTATGTGCAGAGGCGTTTTTCCGGTGTTAGTCCGAGCGTTCGGATCATCGTGTGATCCCAGCAAGGCGAGCGCACAGGAGTAGTGCTGAGTTGAATCCTCGGTGCAACATGCATGTAACGCCGACCACCCGTTCGCATCAGTCGCCAGTGTCGCCGCGTTAGGCATACCCCGGGAGATGTTGTGGTGGTCGTATGCACAGTGACCTGTACTGAGTCGAGCTCGCCCAATGATGTCTTCGGACGGTTTCGATGATGTGTCCCACTTTGCACAACCTTGAGTCGCCCCAACTGTCTCTTTCCCTGACTCTCCTATCCCTCGGCCGAGAAGATCTGTAACAGAATCAGGCAACCCAGCAGTTGCAGCCAGGTGGAGACTCGTCTTTAGATCGACTCGAGCCTCGCTTGCGCGGGTCTGTGCTAGCTCATCCTCTGCCAAGGTCGAGATCCACATTGCCATCCGACGATTATCGTCCCGCTGTAACGACTCGCATTCGCTTGATTCCTTCAGTTCACTCCCGTGATCAAGCCTCTCGCGCAGAAGTTCTCGTTCTTCCTTTCGATCACTGGTCATGTCAGGGATGCACCCACCAAGCGAGCGGTCTTCGGTCCGTTTCGATAAAGTTTGGCATAGCGATTTCCTGGCTTCTGCAGCCAGGACCCTCCTCATGAGCAAACTTGGTGAAACAGAATGTGGGGTCAAGCCAGTCCCATCTACCGCACAAGCGGAGGCTGCCCCATGCCGAATGAGAGTCTTTGCGGCCGGAACGTTACCAGCAGCGGCAGCGAGAAAGAGCGGTGGTCGGCTGAGTGCATCCGTGGTCTCGAGAACGGCAATCCTCGCTGCACGAATTCGATCAATGTCAACAAAGCAGTGCTCGCAGCTACCGCTATCACCATCGTCCTCGCTGGAGTATTCCTCTGGTAGACATAGCGCCTTGCTCTCCCTGCGTGGCTCATATCCTCGTTCATCTTCCCAGTCATTGGATGGGTCATCTGTCCCCTTATCATCCTGGTTAGAACCCATTCTTCTTGATTCTTTCACCTCCTTTCTTCCGAAAACAATATCCATCAGAGGGACATACGAAACTTCGACGAGCGTGGAGTCGGTGGAGCTGTCCCTTCTGACTCGTACGTCTCCGCGCTGGGAATCGCGGATTTCGTGTTGGTGGCGACCGCTGCGAGATTTCAGGGTCCGTGCTCGGAAATAACGCCCGACCTCGAGCAGGGTCTGTTCCGAGACTCTCACGTTGACATCGAAAAGACATTCGCGAAATTGTCGCATGGAGAGGGTTCCGTCTCCATTCCTGCATAACGTGAGCGGTGCGGACAAACATGAGAAGAGCAAGAGTCGAGGCGCGAAACAGGAAAAATAGTCTCCCTCGTATCGAAACTTCTCCGACAATATTAGTCAAACCGTAGGCTCAGTTGTCTCGTATCGTCCAGTACTACCCACCGGTCAAAGTCCTCGAAAACGCTCAGCAAGAATGCCTCTGCCCCGCCCCTCTTGCGCATCGACAGCTTCTCAGCCGTTTTCGCCAACGCCCCGCAGAACCACTGGACCTTCGCGGTGGTAGCGGTCGACCCGTCAGGACCCTGGCGTGGGTCTGAATCTCGCGCGTGCTGCCCTTGTCGACCGTTCGTCGTGTCTCGTTTTCCGCCGGCTCTACTTTCTTTCCTTCTGCTCCGCAGACATCGGAGCTTTCCGGTCCGTCGATGGAACTCTCCGTCACAGGGGAAAACGGCTTTGTTGATATCAGTGCTACCACAAGTGGGTGCGTTGCCGTTGGAACCTCGACATGCTTTCGATGGAATATTCCTTCCGTCGGATGTTTCGCCGCGGAGCTTGGCTTTGAGCGCTGCAAATATGGCTTTGTCGGGGGCAACACTCGCGTCTCTTGCGGATAGGTCTGCCCTGCCGGTGGTGATGAGGGAGTGAATGAGGGAGTGATCACCTCCCCGTGCTGTAAAACGGCGATAATGAAGTGCACGGGCCAGGAGTAAACCGGGGAAAATGTTGATTTTTTTTATGACAAACCACGGCTGGTTGACCAGAAAACAAACGTGTGGAGAATGGGTTGCTGCAAAATCTGAAAAGTTGGGCGACCTGTTGTAGACTACAGTGGAGAAGCCTCCCTACCGACGAGACCCTATACCGTCTTATTCCCTTATCCTTGAAATGTAATCGTGGCCGTGGAGTGAATCGAAACAGCATGAGCAAGAAACAGAGTTGTGGCAAGATGTACGGGCAGGACGAGTAAAGCTGCCTCGCTACTGGTACCTGAAGCAGCCCAGTGCAGAGGGGTGCGTCCCCTATCATCTCTGGAGGTCACTGACTTTCTCCAGCACTCCTCGCATCGAAGTTCTGTTACTCTCACAAGTCGCCGCCTTTCGTCGAAAAGCCACCTCTCGAAACGATCGACGTCGTCGATAGTGATCTTCCCGGCTGGTCGGCCACCGCCGGTTGTCTGAGGAACATCCACTCCTTGAATGAACATGTCTCGACGATGGTCCAGGAAATCTAGCTCGTCTTCAAGACGTTGGTTGAGGTCACGTCGCCAATACTGCATCAGGGTCTTCACCATCCGGACGTTCTTGGTGCCGACTGCCATGTGTAACGCCGTCCGTTGTCTGAACAAGGCAGGCGTGCACGGAGCGATTGATGACTAACTACAGTGTGTCGAAGTGTCAGCGCAATTCTCATATCCCTACGGCACAAGTACGACTACAGCAGCTTACACTTTTGGCCCCACGAAAGCGAACGAAGGAGAACACATGGTTTCACCGGGTTCCTACTGTAGATTCAATACCTATCATCTGCTGCCAGAGCAACCGCCACTCCTTTCAGTCGGCTGCGTTTGACTGCCTCGTCAAGTGCTTCCCTGTCCCCCGACAGCACCGCTCGGATGACTCGATTGGACACCTTGTCCACGGCTGGAATAACTATGCGCGTGCACAAAACTGAGCGCACAAGGCGCTGGAGAACATGATCATTGGGCGGGGCGTCTCAGCGATCAGGGGCTCTGGTGATTCGGATCAAGTGCCACAGATCATGTTTCGTTGCCGGTGCCGAACGCAGTTTACGGAGGGAAAGCAAGTCCGCTATACATTGACACAAGATGTGTGCCAAAGCCATCATTCTAAGAGATATATCACCAGAGCTTGCACCGGGGTGGACATCCCAGCAGTTTATTTATACGCACCACATTTGTCAGGGTCTTTTGAAGACTCTCCACGTCTTCCTTCTTGGGTCTTGTGGTCTCGTCCGTTTCTGGCGTCGTCTCCGCGTTTTCGCCATGGTCCTTCTCTACGACTGTGCCTTCAACCGGCGCATCAGCTGCTGTTGTTTTCGCAGAAACTGCTGGCGATTCTTCAACCTTCACGACGTCACCACGGAGTAGAGGGTCATCGGGAGCCCCCTCAAACCTGACAAGATAAACATGCCAAGAGCGCAACCAATCGTGTTCCGCTGTAAGGTGTGATGTATCAGGTTGCAAGGTTGCAGGCCTCTCTTTGCTCTACAATGCTGTAAAACAATGTTAGTTTGCATGTTTGTATCATCGAACTGTTATATGTAGCTGGCAACGCCCTTGCGACAGTAGTTGGTGTGAGCGGGCAAAACTCTTCCTTTGGAAATATAGCCTGTATCCGCTGCCCACGAGTAATTTGTGCACACGCCAGCGAGGCCGATGGCACCAGGTCAGACGCTTCCTCAATGAGCCCTACAAGTACATATTCCCTGTTCACTGCATGGATGGCGCTATTTCTCAGTACCTCACAGCAGGAGGGGAGCTTGGCGGTGTCATTATACCCCGTGTGCGTGTCTGGGGTCGCGAGTAGGAGCACTGCGCGCCTGGCTGCGCTACGCGGTGCGCGTGTACGTGCAATGCCGCGCCTCCGCGCCCGGCTTAGAGTGTCGTTTCGGGAACGTATTCCACCGCTTTGCCCCCAGTTGCGCCGCCTGTGGCGCGCATGAGGGTTATGTATTATGTACATACTACGAGTCCTGCGGTGATGACCTGGCTACGATTCCGCTTGAGTGCAACATTGCTTGTGAGCACGTACCGCCAGCAGCCATCACTTCTGGGGGTGAGGGCGTTCGTTCCAGGTCTAAGTGGTAGACCAGTCGGAACGCATCGGCAGCAAGCCAGCATGTCCGCAGCTCCTGCGTCAAGCGGAGGGACAGCAGCAGGAGGAGGAGGGGGCGGCGAAAACAAGGGCAACCGCCTTGCCGAAGAAACGTCCCCATATCTCCTTCAGCATGCGCATAACCCAGTGGACTGGATGCCTTGGGGGCAAGAAGCGTTCAGTCGGGCCAAAGAAGAGGACAAGCCCATTTTTCTGTCCGTGGGGTACTCAACATGTCACTGGTAAGTGCCATTGTGTGTGCTTGGAGCAAGGTGTCGATCCGTGTAGTCGCCACGCGAAGGTAACCCTCCTACAGTAGTACTGGAAGCCCAAATAGGGACACTTTGGACACAGCACTCAAATTCCTATTTACCCCACTGTAGTCACCCTAGGCTCGGCTGTGTGCAGCGCACGTGAGCACCCTTGGTCTATCGTGCTTGGCTGAGGTGGTACGCTATGTGATACCCTGTGTGATGCCTCTCCTGGACCTCTGCCTTGCTGTATCTCCAACCCGCGTGCCCACTGAGTCGTAAAACTGTACATCGCCTGGTACAGGAAAGAATGGCTGACTTGGCTTCAGCATGAAAAGTTTTCCCACGTTTTCATACTGAAGCCAAGTCACCCTTTGTCTGGCAAGGAGCTCAGAGTCTTTGGAGGGACTGTAGCCCCTCGACCAATGGCTGACAAACAGTTTTGCGACATTTTTTTTTGCGGAGGGACTGGGTTCTAGGCTAGGAGAGTTCAGAACTTGGCCGAGGCGCGCACCTTCAAGTGCGATGAAACGTACCCAGTAGCCGATGGACATTCAAATCAATCCACACTGTACTGTAGGACCCATATCCACGATTGGCGGATCGTACACACATGCGGAAGACCCTTGCACCCTCTCAACGCCGACATGGCTTTCCATGCCCTGCACCAAGGCCCAACAGCCTGGGAGCTTGGTATTATGGGACTTGTGGTGTGTATACAACACTTTGGTGAGTCGTACGGATGGTAGATCAACTGATTCTCAAGAACTGGTTCAGCTGAGCACACAGCGAGCAGTTTTGCAGACGGGCATGGTGAAAATGAGCTAGCTAAGCGGGTCGATGACATGGACCAAAGCACATGGCGCAGAAAGAAAAAAATTGTAAAGTTTTCTTCTTCCTGCTTGGCCCACGTCTTACTCAAAATATTTGCCCGGAGTAACTGTCGTTTGCCAAGCCCGTGACTATGCAATAAGCCGGTCGTACGCATTTCGTCTTTGCTACCGCTGTACACGACAAATTGGTGAAACGGCGCCTCTTTCGCAGAATCTTCTAAATTCCCCATTCGTCATGTACACCAGGGAATAGTCTCTCGCCTCAACAATCTCTCGAAAGCAAGACCGGTCTTGTCGTCCCGCTGCGTCGTCGCATCGCGCACACGGCTGTACGGATGGAAAAACGCGCGTAAGTTTGACATTAACAGCACAACCTGCCCAACGTCCACACTGGACACGTACATAGACACAAGAACGAGCGTGTGTTCTCACAAGCGCGGTGTTCTCCTCCGTGTTGCCGTAGGTGCCACGTGATGGAACGCGAGAGCTTCGAGAGCCAGACCGTGGCGAAGGTGCTCAACGAGAACTTCGTGAGCATCAAGGCAAGTTCGATTCTTGCTCCCGGCGTGTCGTGTCAGGGCTTCTGCTCGTGTCGTCGGAGAAACAGGCCTGGAAACGCTTTCGTTGACGAGTGTAGATCCCGATCCAACCAAGGTAGAAATCGGAAATCACCCCAAACAACATACCAGTACGCCTGTTGCGTGTTTTGGTGGTACCCATACGCTTTGCTTTCGACCATGCGTCCGGGTCCCCTACCAAGGGGCCCGATTCTCCTTGTGGGGTGTTTGTCCCTCCGTGACATTGATTGTACGTGTCCCATCCTAGAAATAGTTTTCGTGGTTGGCCTTGCCAGGGTTTCTGTTTTTTCTTATATTTCTTGTCTGCCCTTGAACCACTGGGAGTCTGCCAGCCCATGATGACGGGAAATCGTTCCTCACACGGTTGACGTCCTGCGCATGAGGGAAGGTTGACGTAGGTCAGACATGAATTGGCGTGAAGACAGCAACAGCAGCAGCAGCAGCAGCAGCAGCAGCAGCAGCAGACAGAAACACGTGTGAACATTTGTGTACTTGTTACATATCCCAATCTCCCAAAGGTGGATCGGGAGGAACGTCCGGATGTGGACCAGTGCTTCATGACCTTCGTGCAGGCCACCTCGGGGGGAGGGGGCTGGCCAATGAGCGTGTGGCTCACGCCGGACCTCAAGCCGTTCGTGGGCGCGACTTACTTCCCAGAGATGCGGTTCGTCAGCATCCTCAAGACGCTGGCGGACAAGTGGTCGAGCGACAGGTACGTGTGTCAAGTTCGGTGCTCCCCCGTTTCGATTCCGCTTGCACAGCCGGCCTCAACTTTAAGCGGGATAGAGATGTTGTAGACCGTACGGAGACGGCAAGAGGCCAGTTTCGTGGCTGCCAAGTGTGTTGTCTGGCGAGGTCGGGTCCTCGTCCGCATTTTTGTGCCTCCTTTTTCCGGACAGGGTTTGATCTGTGGACACTCACGTAGTAGTAGTTCTTGGGGGTATGTGCACATGCCAGCGGCGGCCACTTTAGCGAACGGCTAGTTCTTGACCCTCTCAGTGAGTCCCTCTCGTTGACAGAAACAAACCAATTGAAACATCTTCTCGGCCTACGTGGCATGCGACTGATCGACCGGAGCGCCCGCCTTCTCCCGCCTCCCCAGGGAAGAGGTGGTGAAGCAAGGGGACCACATCGTTCGCCTTCTGCAGGAGCGGCTGTCGGAGACGGCGGCGGCAAGCGGAGATCCGCTGGCGTTTCTGGCTCTCGACAAGAGCAGGGAGGCGGTGCGAGAAGGGGTTCGGGTGCTGGACAAGGGCCATGATGACGTGCTCGGGGGATGGGGCGGCGGCAGAGGGGGGATGAAGTTCCCGCAGGTATGGAGGTTTGGATGTTGTTGCTGCCGTAGTCCTGGTCGTAGTCCTGGTCGTAGGCCTGGTTGTAGTCGTAGTCGCAGTCGTAGTCATAGTCGTAGTTGTAGTCATAGTCGTAGTTGCTTACTGTATGCTGCTGATACAGTCGACGTTTTGCGTGGCATTTTCTTTCTTGCTGGGTTGTAGTGTCGTGCGTGGTGTACCGTTGTGTCCACGACGTTCTTGGTCACCGAGAAAGTGTTCGAAGGTCGAGCTGTTCGAAGGTCGAGCTGCAAGAGAGGCAAGCAAGAGTGGGGAGGGCACGACTCCGCGCAATCGTGTTGTTACGGCAAGCTTCTGCCGATCATGTGTGTGTCCAACTTGTGCGGCTCTTCGGTATGCCCAGACACGACCGAGAGAGCCTGTCGCTTCGACCGTCCTCAAACCGAAGACGCCTCCTCTGAGTGATTCACTCCTCCGTTTTCCTGTTGTATCTCAACTCGTCGTTGCCGTGACCACAGCCAAGCAGGATGAACCTTCTGCTTCGCGCGCACCGCCTGGAGGGGGAAGGAAGCGCCCTCGGCGCCAGAGCCCTGGCAATGGTGGAGACGACCCTGAAGGCCATGGCCAAGGGGGGCATCTACGACTATCTCTTTGACGGGTTCGCCAGGTCAGAGTGTTTTTTTTTTTTTTGCAGTATTGTTCGTTCTGGTGGACAACGCACTCTTGATCGTTGAGTGCGTATTGCATGGGGGTTGAGTCTTTGCCGTACGACGGAGGTTTGTTTCCTTGACGCAGTTGGAGTGGTGCAGCCGAGGAAGGGTTACTTGGAGTGAATAAGAACCTGACACGGACGTAAAGGCAGCAATAGCAAGAACCAAAGGAACAGGTTGACACAAAACGTCAAAATCAACAGCCGCAAGATAACCCACAGAGCTGGTCCCGCCATGAGGCGTAGGAAAGTTTTCATCTGTGAGACCGCAGGGACTATCCCGCAGGAGCAGTGTAGGAGTGGCTTGTGAAATGGGCACCGTATTGTGATTTTCCAAGATTTCATTTTTTCCCCGTAGGGTTTTGATGCTTAAACGCCCCCACTTGTTGTGGCGTATGCTTGTGGAGGTTACTGTGCTGATCATTCAAGATATTTTGCTTCCGAAGTCCTTCTGTTGCTTGCCGTCTTTTTTTTTTCGCCGCACAAAATATTCTTGGCGTGTTTTTGTCCCAAAATTTTCATTTGCCGGATACATTTTTTTCCAAGGAAATTTCCCCCTCGTAAAATGCAGGTACTCTACCGACCCGCGTTGGCACGTTCCGCATTTCGAGAAAATGCTGTACGATCAGAGCCAGCTTGTGACCGCTTATGTGGAAGCCTTCCAGGTAATGATGAAACCCAACCGTTCATCTTGAACATATATTTCCCGAGAGGTACTCCTGTGAGCCGAATCAGGTAGTCTGCACGTACATTGTGCAACAACATTTGCGACGCGGCATACACGCTGAAACATTGCACTCAGCTGCTAGTTTCCAACCTACTGACTCCAACTCCAAACCATTAGCCTACGCCCCGCCTGTGCTTTCACTATTGTGTCGACTCAATTGACCAGCATTCACTCCCACTATCTCCAGGCAGAATTGCGTACCGAAATAACAGGAGCAAACTTTGCACCCACCCCGCTGTGTGCATGGCCAAGGTCACCGGCGACACTGCCTACGCTGACGTGGCTCGTGGTGTGCTGCGGTACGTGCTGAGGGACATGACCGACGAGGGCGGGGGCTTCTACAGCGCGGAAGACGCCGATTCCCTTCCCTTCGAAGGAGCGACAGAGAAGAAGGAGGTAGGGGACAATATTTACTTGTATTTAGTGCTTCCGTGTGCGATTCTCGATGCCCTCGCCACAGTTCAGAGCGACCGAAAAAATGACAATACGAAAGCGTGGGTGGGGTTGGTGACGCTGGTGCTCGTGTGAGGTGTTTTTGCGTGTCCCTTGCTTGTGGTGTGCATGGATCGCGTCGACGTTACCTGCGGAGCCACCCGGCATGTGAGTGATGGTCGGCGCCGCGACGGTAGGGGCCCACGGGTTTGTGTGTGCTTGCATCACTGTTTTTTTTGGCGAGATCTTCTTCCTTTTCTGAAGGGTGATCATCGAGAGCTTGTCCTACTCGTGGCGAGATAATTCACTCTAAGAGTCGTGCGTTTCACTGTGCAGATATCACGGAAGGATATATCTCTTTTGCTGGTGGATACCCTTTCTTTTAGAGTATGTACAAGCTGGTCTGACCAAGAAGCTAACTTTCGTTCTTTCATGTCCCACTCTGCTGTTTCAACGAATTTAGACTTCACATTTGGCGGGTGCTCGTATAAGACCATAGGGGATGCGCAGGTGCCGGAATTTTTCGGATCTGAGTTGATTTTAGGTATATAACTATCAATTGGCGGCATAGTTGGGATACTTCCTGTTCTGAAATCAGCATAAAAAAAAGTTTCTCAGATCAAGCTGAAATTGTTGTGCATGTACCTGGGAACATGGCGAGAGCAAAGATGGTAGTTTCAAGGCTCACGGCATCTTCCATCAGAAGTTATGGCCTATTAAAGAATCCGATACAACACACGAGATACCTGAGGCAACGTAAGGATCTCGCGATTCCCACGCTGGTTTTTCGAATTAGAAGCTGAAATTTCGATACGGCATCCCCATGAGTACAACAAACAAATAAGCCACTGCGCCATTTGACTTTTTTCTTTTTTTCTGCGACTTTTTGGCATAGCAAATATTCCCATGAATACTAATATCAGCCTAACTTACGAAATAAAAAAAAATCCAAATAGCGCAGTCGCCTTTGTGTTTATAGTACTCATGCAGATGCCGTGTCAAAATTTCAGGTTCTAACTCGAAAAAACCGCGTGGGAAATCCGCTCTAACCTTCAAATTTGCGTCTTGGTCAGACCAGCTTGTATGTCTTTCTGGTGGTTCTTCTGTACACAAACTGCGTCTGATCCTTTGGCGGTCGAGAACATCCGAACGCCACCAAAACAAGAGTGAGAAATGTCTGGAAATGACACAGTCGGCCTTGCCCCCCCGTGTAGACCTCAATCAATAGCTTGTAGGGTAGTCCGGCCTTGAAAGACACGCCAGCCTTAATTTCCCAGAATGTTTGAACGACGGGTTGTCTTCATGACAACCTGGCGCATTTTTTTACCTCCTTTTCGTGTGTCTCTGAGTGAACTACTTAGGGGTGGTTGGAACTTGTGAATTGAGGCCCTGTCCAGTCGACCATCTCGTTTTTTGTGAATGAATAAAAATACGAGGTTATTCACATATTGATCTTGACCTCACGTTGCTCGTTTGCGAGAAGGGCACAGTGGTTAAGGTTAAATGGAAGAGTTGCAGGGAAGTGTGAAATTGTTTGAATCGTGTAGCGGAGAGTAAAATATACCAATTTTCACTTTCAAAGGTCTCGGACAATGTTATCTAACTTTCTATCGTCTAAGCCAGTGAATTGACCCGCGATGTATGCAACACTCTGACACAACCTTATTGAAAGTATCAGCCTATTGTAGGCTTTCGTGGGGTCTCGCATTGGAATTCAGAAGATGGTTGGAACTAGTGCATCGCGGCATTGCATATTCGACATTTTCCTTTGGGAAGCGAATCCAAATTGAAATTTTATACTAGTTGATCTGGGCATACCTACTTCTTTTTTCACGAGGAAATGGGTTGATAGTTCACTATACGTATGCATAGAAGAAATTTAGGTAGAAATGAATTTCTTCGAATCGGGGAAGAGAGAGTGAATTACGTCACTGTCAGGTTGAAGTGAGAGTGAATTATGTCACTTTCAGGTTGTGGGAGAGTGAATCTTGTCAGTTTCAGGGGGTAGGGGGGTAAGTTTTCCACGATGAGAGGTCCGTGCAAGCGTGTTGCCCCACAAGTCACCCACCCAAATTTTCACGACTAAGGAAGTAAGGAACACGATAGGCGGGCTTTCCTAGGGTGACATCTGTGACGATGACAATCATGTTCTGTATGTTGCACTTCCTGCCCAAGTGAAAATGCGATCGTCTACACACGTCCCACATCGAGATGGCAAGTAGTTCCGCGTATTGCCACGCCTCAGTTTGTGGGTTCATGCAGGGAGCAGCACAAACAGCCGTTGCTCCCGTAGATGTATGTAGCCTTGGAGTGAAGAGATGCGTGTGTCACAAATGAATGTACGCCGCTCGAGTATGTTCATTCACTACCCGACGGTGCTCGATTTTCACACAGGTTGTGCATTTCATCCCTGCGTTGATTCCGGCACACGTCGATGAAGAGTGAAACGTGTGCTTCGTTTCTCCAAATACCCATATTTCAATGGGATGCATTCCTGCATTTATTCTGCAGACGTCTTTCATAGGAGAAGTGAATGTGTTTGACGAAATGAATCGACGCGGCGCCAAGACAGTTGAAAGTGTTCATGTTTTTCGATTTCCGGTGATGTGTTTGTTGGTGTAGACATTGATGACGTGGATATTGTCATTGTTTCACAAACAGAATCGATGCCGCTAGAGGTCATTAGATGATACCGCACACAAGATAAATATTGCATTTTTTTTATTATTTAATTTCATTATTTTTTTTCGCGTGAACGCGATTATCGCCCTTTTTTCCTAATCTTGACGTACAGCGTCGTTGTGCCGCCAATGTCCACTGTTTTATTTTGGCCCCAGTAGAACTTGTTCTTCTTGCCTGAGGCCAAGCATTGCATTCTCGACGGACTATACAGCAAGTTGTAGGGCGTTTTTAAAAGGAACAGCTGCAATCATTCGAAAGGGTCGTTCATCGAGATCTAGACTTTAAATCGACGAATGTTGGTGAACTTTGAATGAGGGGAAATGTTCAGCAATTTCTTTGCAGAATAATTTCTTTTTGTGTGTGTCGAGAGGTCCTGAACGCTTCTTTCCTAGAGGATAGGGATAGACGTGCGCGGATGTTTGCGTGTGCCCACAACCCTTCGGCGTTCCGCTTCTTGGCGAACAGCAACAGCAGGCAGGCCCGCCGAGATCGAACATGACGGGGCAGATCACCAGAAGCACACAGGCGTTGCCGAGAAGCGAGAGAGTTATTCAAATCGCGCTGCACCGAAATTTGCCGCTCGTCCCCCTCACCGCTCGTCAACGGTCCTCGTTTAAGGGGAATTAGGAAGTTCTCCATGCACATGTCTGACAAAGCCTACACTCCTTTTCGTTTTTGGGTGTATCGCATCTCGTGGACGCGCGAAACGACTACTTTCGTCTCGTCGAACCGCTTCTTATTTTGTACCGATTTGTCCGCAGGGAGCATTCTGCGTGTGGACGGAGCCGGACCTAAGGAGGTTACTCGATGGCGAAGAAGGCGTTGCTCTCCCCGGCGAGGGGGGCCAAACCGTACCGGTGTCAAGTCTCTTCTGCAGGTGCGGTTACCCCCTGTGCCTGGCTCACCTTCCAAAGTAAATCGTTCCATATTGGGGGATGTTGATGCATGGCTTGATCAGCACGGCCCGTTTCTTGTACACTGTACTTCTATTTTGTATGCATACCTCGAGGCTTCTTCGAGTTCTGGTTCCGTGGCCACCAGAGAGTAATAAATCTTGCACGGAATTGTGGAACGTTGAACAGGTACGTGTATTATGTGGTAGGTGGCCGGGCCCGGTTTTGATCGCGAATGACACTACTACCACCACCACCAACAACAACAACAACAACCACCGCCACTACTACGACACAGTAACCACATACAACAACAGCCACACCCAAACACACCACATCCACCACCACCACCACCACCACCACCAACAACAACAACAACAAGCTGAGTGTTTTTTCCTGAGCCATGGAACGCACCTATGCAACAGGGTGTACGGCGTTCGGCCCGAGGGAAACGTCGACCCGGCCGTGGACGCGCACGGGGAGCTCACCAGCCAGAACGTTCTCTTCAAGAGCGAGACCGTCCGAGTGGCTGCGGAAGCATTGGGGGTGAGGAAGTACGGGTGGTTCGGCTTGTCTGATTGACCGCTCTAGGTTTGGCCGGGAGGACTATGAAAGTGCGGGCGAACGCACACGCGTGTGTTGCTTTGCGGTTGTCGCACAAGCAGTGTTGGAGGAAGCGAAAGAGGGAGAGGAGGGACGAGACGGCTGTGCCAGCCGTCGCCCAAGTCTCGGAGGTCGAGCGATCGGAGGAAACCGTTGTCCCGTAAATTCCGTTTATTGTCGTCGTTGCTCGTACGACCTCTGTCGTGAGCTATGAAATGTGTTGCATGGTGGGGCTCTGTGCAAGCGCCGCACTTGTTCTTCATGGGGCCGTTGTTGCTGTTCTTGTGGGGCGAGATGGAATGGCAACGTGTTCATCTTCAGGGAGCTTCGGCAGACGAGAGGTCGCGCAGTACGACGCAATCCCCGGGCCCTCGAAAAAAGTGGTTGATGTAGCGACCGGAGCCGAGTCCGGTCGTGAACTTGGTGCCTGTGTTGGCACACGCGTCCCATACTTGCGTCTTTAACTGTAGTCAGTAGTACAATGTCACGACTGACTCGCTCGCCAACTCGTTGTTTTGATGCCTCCTCCCTGTCTTTATGACCGTTGGGCACCACTACAACCACTCACGTCAATCTCTCGTGCTGGGACGGCATTATCAACGATTCGTCTGCGTGGTGGTGTGTACACAGCTCACGTGCTCGGGCGAAGAGGCGGAGGCGGCGATGACCGGCGCGCGCGCCACCCTCGTGGCCGCCCGCAGGAAGAGGCCCGCTCCACACCTGGACGACAAGGTCCTCACCTCCTGGAACGGGCTCATGGCAAGTGGCTTACGGAGGGGTCACGGGGACGGGTTTGTGGCTGAGTGCCTGAGTGTTGTACGTCACTATTGCATCTCGTACCCTTGATTTTACTGTTCCCGTGTTTCTTTACCCCCGTGGTATGTTGGATGTTGTGGGTGGGCGTTGGTTGTGAAATCAAGCCTCTCAAAGAAACGGGTCTGCGTTCATGGCTACCGAGCGCATATTCACGCGTTCATGAGGTTGATGCCTGAGTGTTGTACCTCTCCGTGAATGCAACGCCCCCGTGATTATTTTTTTCCCATGCCATGGGCATGTTTGATAGTCGAATTGTGGTTGTGAAACCAGACCTGAAAATGACCGGGGTTTTCGTGCATGGTTTGCAAGGACGCATGCACCACTGCGTTGTGATGCCCCTCGAAGGATTCAAGGTTGAAACCAACGAAACGAAGTTTCCAGAACGAACCTGCAAGATCGAGCTGCGTCGCCACCGTCCGTTGAGCATGGGCTAGCTAATTTAGGACAGGATTTAGGCGAGATAACCACCGCTGGCGCTGCTTTTCTCAGTCCAGCCTCAATTCGCACCCACATTGCAGTCTCACACCTACTCCAAGAAGAAGTTCCCGTCTGGACTCCCCCGCCCACCCTCCCTTAGTGTCTAAAGTAGTAATCATATTCCAGTGTCTGTTCCATCTTACAGGAGTGCTACACCCTGGAAGCGGTTATATTTGTGTACCTACCAAGTCCCTCCCTTCCCGCCTACAGCCCTGACGCAATACGTTCTTGTGTACCAACTCCCTCCCTTTCCCGTTCCATTCGTTTTTTGTCTCAGATATCGGCCTTGGCCAGAGCGTCACAAGCGTTTTCGTCTTCCCCACCTTCCGAGGAGAGCCTGGCCTACCTCGGGGCCGCTACAAAGGCGGCGGAGTTCGTGCGGGAGAACTTGTACCGGTCCGGCTCCGGCGACGGAGAAACTGCGGGAACACTTCTACGCAGCTGGAGGAATGGCAGGGCTTCGCCGGTGAGCTTGGTTTTGCTTTTTTTTTATTACTCGGTGTCCAACGTAGTTGGTTGTCATTGGACTGTGTGGGCTGGTGTAACCCTGCCTGTGGGTTATCGCGGGACCATTCAGGTACTTGATTCGGAATTGTGTGTTAATTGCCATGAAAAATCCTTCGCGGTCAGACTCGTTGCCTCCTTAGCAGCAGCACCAATATCTCTCTCTTTGTCTCTTCCTCTCTGTCCATGTGTTTGCTATGTCAAATGTTCTTGTCGCGGATGGGTACCAATCACCCTTCGCCCGCGTTCTCCTGCCATCGCCACCAGGTGGAGGGGTTTGCAGATGACTACGCGTTTCTCATTCGGGGCCTGATCGATCTCTATGAGGCTGACCCGAGGAGAGACACTGGCTGGCGTTGGCTTCGATGGGCGAGGGAGCTACAGGCACGGAGCTTTGTTGCGGTGCTATTCGGGAAGGGTGACGATGATTCAGGCTGCGGTTGCTTGCTCAGTAGCTGCATCTACCCCTACAAAAGCTTTCACTCCCTCTGTGAAGGCTAACGATGCCAGCAATCTAACTCAACGAGCAAGTGTCATCAAACATGAAAACGTTGAAAGTATTGGCAACAAACGACATGAAATGTAGATAGTATGATGTGTGCGTGAGGTTTTTTGGAGGAAGACTCACGTACGAGCGTTCCATCGAATTTCCAGGCTGAGATGGACGAGGGTTTCAAGTGCCCTTCGGAGGCGGGAGGCGGTTACTACAGCTCCAGGGCGCTGGAGAGCGAGGGCGAAACGAAGGGGGACGGAGAGACAGAGGGGGGTAGCGGCTCTGGCGTCCTGCCCTACCGCCTTCGGGTGAGCGCGTGTGCATGTGGAGTGTGTTGTGTTTTTCTGGGAAAAAATCGATGGCGCTAACCAGTTGCCAGTGGATGTGCGTCGTTGTACGTGCGTGTTTGCCTGAGTTTGCGCACATGTTCTTCTGGAGAAAGCGAGCATCGACCACGCTAACAGGCTGACCAGTGGATGTGTGCTTCGGTGTGCTGTACGCGTGCTTGTGCGTGTACTTTGGGAGTTGCCATGGACAGCGCTATACGACCGATGACACCAAGTTCGTCGATCATATGTGTGCGGGCCGGCGCTTGCTGTGATACGTGTGTGCGTGTGTGCGGGCTTTCATTCCATGCGCGTTGACCCCCACCATCCGGCTGATTACAAACAAGTGGTATGCGTTTTCGTACGTGTTTGATTTATCCTTTTTATACTGGGGGTGTAATGTGGGTGTGCACTTGCTGCGAAGCGTCTCGGGGAGGAATAATAGGAGTATTCGGCGTTTCCGTTCGTGGTTTTGTTGACTCGGATTGACGTACCTGTGTATTAGTTGAGCTGACGGCTATTGTAGTCCGTTGAGTCGACGGCTTCTTCAAAGGTGATGGGGTAGCATCGTGAGGTTTGTTGATATGGTGGTTGGGAGGAGCTCCTGAACTCATCCCACTCTTTTCTCCCCTCCGCCGCAGAAGGCCTAGTCCAAGGTTTTGGCCACGAACCCACCGCCGCCATATTCTGTGATCGTTTCTCGCTCTCCCCTCATCCCCCGACTTTTCCACAAAACGTTACAAATTGGGCTGTGGACCTTCCGTAATTCCGCCCCCTCCCCCGCCACCGGCCGCGGGTACAGACGGACTACGACGGAGCGGAGCCGGGGGCAGGGTCCGTTGCCGCCGACAACCTCCTCCGGCTTTCAGGATACTTCGGGGGGGAGGAGGGGAAAGTCCTGAGAGAGAAGGCCGCCGAGCAGCTCGCCGCCGCCTTCGCCCTCCCGGAGACACCGCAGGCGTACCCCGAGCTGACGGCCTCGCTTGTGACGGCTTTGCTCGGCCCGAAGCAGGTTAGTTGAGTGTTGGTAGTGATAGACAGTGTTGTTGTTGTTGTTGTTGTTGTTGTTGTTGTTGTTGTTGTTGTTGATAAGGGTTGATTGCCTAACTAAATATGTGGCCATTGAAAAACCCTCACCAACAGTATCCGCCCTCCACTCCCGTCGTTCTTCCCGATTGACGTTAATGGCCCCGTGTAGGTCATCATCTCCGGAGATCCTGCCGGCGCGGAAACGCAGGCTCTCATGAGCGCAGCGCAGCGTAGCTTCTGCCCGAACCTCGTCCTCATCGTGGAGGACAGCACGAGTGAGGATGTTTTGTTTTGTTTTCATCCTCTTTCACGCTCTGTTTTTCTTGCTTTAGATTTCGAAACAGCGGTGCTCAACATAAAATACAATCTTGTCGCAGAATTATGTATCCCCGTCATCCGAACATGAGGGCCCGCGCCGCCACCGCATAGGTCACAAGCCTCGCCTTTTCTTTTTCGTTTCGCTTCCCGACTCCTCAATTTTTCTTTCAAGGCATCCATCGGTGTCGCACACGATCACTTTGAATTCGGCCGTCTAGATCCCGAGGACTAGGTGCTAGGTCCATTCCTCTCGCTTGTCACCCGCAAAGTGCAGATGACGTCCAGTTGCTCTTTTGGTGTTGCTTTCGTAATCGCCAACCCTTTCTGAAGCGGCTTCGTACTACGCTAGACTCAGCTGGTTGCCTCAGGGGTTGGTAGCTTAGAAAGTGCTCTTGAGGCTGGTCAGAATGTAAACAGTTTCCTCACTCACTGTTGGACATGGATTTTTTTCACCCTCCCTATAATAGATCCCGAGCCGAATTGAAGTCGGGTTTTCAAGATCATGGTTCTTTCCTTCCCACAGAAAATCTCGAAGTGCTACCTACCGTGTGGATGCTATTGTAGCAGCATCTACAACAATAACCATTTTTTTTCTCCGCAGCAAGTGACGACCGCGGCAAGGAGGAAGAAGCAGGGGACGGGAAGACTGGAGACGAGCCACCCCCATTGTTCCGAGAGATTTTGGAGGCCTACGGAGGCGGTTATTCCGCGGGTGAGGGGGGACAGGCGGCCGCGTACGTGTGCTTCGATAACACGTGCTCAGCGCCGGTGCACACTGTCGAGGCGCTTGAAAAACTGCTCTGAGCATCTCAGCAGCAGTAGTAGGAGCCCTTCCTCCCGGTCGTGCATTCGTTGCGGTCTGCTGTACGTTTGCTGTAAGCACGTTTTTTCGGGGATCGGTTTCAAGCGAGAGGAGCCCGGTGTACTGTTGTCTGTAGAAGGCCTGTTCCGTTGGTGCCCGCGCTCTGGTTATGCGGGCGAGGGGCGTTGAAACATCTGTCAGACATCACCCCCCAGACAGTTCGCTGCCTGGGTCGATGTTTTCCAAGCCACGCCGAGGCATTTAGCGTTCATACCTCCTCCGAACCCATACGTGAAGTGATTCGTGTCCACGTCAACGCCCCGATTCGTTTGGTCAAATCACTTTCGGTGGAGCTGTTTCGTGAACCCTGTAATCAAGAGTCATGCATACAGGGATGAATAGAGGGCGTTTCGTGCATTTTGTTTCTGTGTCGCGGTTCTTCAAGTGAAAATGAGCCTGCCCATAATTTTGCAATGTCGTTGTCATCGCCATAAGTTGTTTTCCTGCCCGTGGACAAGGGTGATTTAATGAAAGTATTGGAATTGGGATGAGGGTTCCAGCTCTGACGGCGGCGATCCCACGGGTGCAATGCCGCGCCGACACGAGTCGGCGCGGCAGTGAATCTGCAAATGATCCAGAGGCGTTGGGCCTCAATACATGTTAGCAGGAGGTTGGGTGGCGTGGTCTCGAAATGATTTCTCTCCTACCCGGTGTTGTCGCGTATCCACGGTACGGAGGAAGACAATGATCGGCTCTACGCAAATTTCAAGATGGTATCGGGGCAGAAGCCTACATCCATTTTCGTGCCGAACTTGAATTCCTTTGTAGACCCGAGAGTACTGTTTGTCTTCATCAACGCCACTTTGCTGGTAGATCATCGTGTTCACTCGCCAGTGGTGATACTACGGGGTTTTAGTGCACCCCCTATCGTTGGCACGAGTCGGAATTACAAATCAAGTTTCGTCTTTCATGGATCGAGTTCATGTTTTTCGGGAAGCTGGAGGATTTTGTGAGCCTCTTTCGTGACACGAGTCTTGCCTATCCTATGCGATACAGCTGGACAACAAAGCCGGACCGAAATATCGAAGGTTGACGCGTCTTCCCCCTTTTCTACAGATTGAGAGCAACGGCAAACACTTCTTCCGTAGACCAGGAGAGACGGCCAAAACCGAACCGACAACAACGGAGGACCCGCGGTTAGATATCTTTGCGTGGCCGCGGGATAGTGTCATTACCTGTTGACGCCGCGTACTAACAGGCTTGGAGTCGGCTGTAACTGATACAAAAGTCGGCTATATGTGCACCAATTTTGCACGCGGACTATTTAACTACATGTTGCGCTCTTACGTTCCCCCAATCCTTGTCTTGAATACAATGGCTTCAAACTATAATAGTACAACGTCTTCATCGACACTGCTGCACACTCTCCCAACCGATGCATGCATGTGCAAAACCAAAACAAACCACCCATGTTCTGGTCACTTGACTCCTGGAACCAGCGGAGGGCGGCAGGCGTCCACGGTGTGCACAATATCCAGGCCAACACGCATCCCGCTACCCCCTACGTCCGCGCTCAGGTGCCATCGTGTTCAGCTTATTTGTGTTAACCAAATGGGCAAAATACATGTATCAAATAAATGGATCTCTAGTCACGTACCACCTAACTTTACTCGTTTGCGGCGTTCAGCTTCGCGCACACAAGGCAGCCTGTGGCATGGTCGCGGCAAAAAAAAAATCAACCACAAAAACAGAATCTAGGGCAGCTTCGTGTTTCCCTTCAAACGTAAACATTCACCATGTGCGTATACCGCCCCGTTTCATACCCATACCCAAACCGTTTCATACCCAAACCGTTTTCATATCCGCGTGTGTACCTGGTACACATGTACTCCCAAGTCTTTTCTTGGTCAGTGGGTGCAAAAAGTGAGAAGGTTGCAACACCCGTGCAAGGAAAAAAAAGAAAAAGACGTGATAAGCGACTGCCCGGACGCAACAATAAAACCCAGCACCCGCGCCCCTGCCCGAACGTATCGCAGTAATTGACCGATCTCGATGTTGGCTGGTACTACTGTATACTCCTACTTCAAATAACAACAAAACACGAAACATGACCTTCCATCCGTCCCGCCTCCCCTCGACCACAAATCGACAAACTACCATTTCGACGCTCAACAGCAGGAATATCGAGCCACCCCCGAAAAACATTTCAGCTAGATACCGATTGGGGTTTCCGAATAAGGCGGTCGAAGCAAGATGGTCGTGGTCGCCTAACATGAGGCGGCTGAAATCGACGGGCACAAGCAAGTCTAGTGCAGTTGAGTACGGCCGCTGCCCCATATAAGGCGGTTATTGTCAGCTGCCCATCCACCGCACCAAATTTCGGGGACTCCTTACTGTACACTGTCCCGCGCGAGAAAAAACCGCAGCGTATGTACCAAAAGGAAACCACCTTTGCTCTCGCACTGGGCGTGCTTGTGCTTCTCGTGAAACGGAAATGGCGCAACCCCCACCCAACACCTCTCCCCCCCCCCCAGTCTTCGACAAGACGGGACAAAACTCCGGTACATCTTACCAATCAAACGTTCCACGGTAGGTACGGGAGATCACGAGATGCTTCTCCTCGCTTCCGTTCAGGTCTCCTGTCTCGGCAAGCCCGAAGCGCCCCCCCCACAGATACTGAACCAAATACGTGTCGCCCCCCCCAAAGATACTGAACCAAATACGTGTAGAAACAAGGCGCTCGGCTGCCAAATGCGATCAAGGACGCTCATGAACCAATTTCACCCAGCACCAGACTTCCACCCGCAAGGAGGTCTCGTCGTTGGCACCGGCTGAAAGAGGCACGGGGGCCAAGAAGATGGCATCATTCGCACCCCCAGTCTCATCGGTGCCCCCCGCCACGACAGAAGCCGATGCGGGTGAAAAAACACAACCACAAGGTCAACCGACGAAAAAAAAACTCGTCGCTCTCGGTCCTTCCGCGCCAACACGCGCACTCCCAGCCTACCGGCGGACACAACAACATACCAAACACGCTCTTCGGCCGAACAGCTGGCGCTTCGTTCGAGCGCGCTACTTCGGCCTAGTAGCACCCCCCGCTGCCCCCACAATCTTGCGGAGCCCCCCCCCTCCACCAGCAGAAGCAGACGACGAGAGCCACGGCTCCACCTGCCTTGTCAGGAGGGGGTAGCCGGGACGGGGGGATGTCTGCCCCCTCCCCTCCATATCGTCCGTTAATT